GTAGTAAAAACCAACAGCACCAAAAAAGCCTTTTATCAGGAAATACTGATTATTCTAGCATTCACAGCCAGCTGTGGTGTCTTGGTGAGCCAAAGACAGGAAGATGCCGAGTGGTGCTCTGGAAGAAAGAGCTCACATCCTCTTAAGCATCAGCTATCTTAGATGAATGGATGTTTGATCCAAACCTGTTTGAAGTGAATTGAATTCTTACCCCAGTTCGCCAGGCTCTGGATTGGACCCCTCATTGTGCCACAGTGGGTGGATTAATGCTGGCTAGTGGCAGCGGTGAAGTCCTGGGAGGCCATGGATTGATTACAGTGTTTCTTGTAGGTAAAACTGGCATTAGATAGCCTGATGGAAGCCCAGGCCGGGTTCACTGACATCGGAGACAGTGTGGCTCGTGTGGATCACCTCCTGAAGCAGCAGAAACAACTGGAAGAGAAGGGACAGGTGTGCACTTGGCTAAACTTCATGCTCTGGTTACTGTAGTTGACTGTTATCAGATGCTTGAATAGCTTGATGTCTGCCCCATGGTTACTCCTCTAGTGGGACCTGAGCTCAAATGGCAACACTGGGATTCAGATTCCAAACCTGCTGAGCTTCGCAGTCATCCATATCTGCTTGGTTGTTTGATTTGGTTCCCTATAAAGGTACTTGCAAATATGTGTTTGGATTTCAAAAGCCTACAAGCTTGGATGGGCTTGGGATAGGGCTTTGGTTGACGTCCATCTCTTGGAACTGGAAGCACAGAATGATCAAACCCAAAAGATTGTCCCATTAAATACCTTCATGTGTTGTGTTATTAAAGTGGGTATTTTATGAACAACTGTTTCCAAAAAGGGATTCCCCTTCTATTCCTATAAACACTACCTTTCTGGATCTTTTGGCTTTTTAAGTGCACCGGGTTAGCCAGGTCTGATGACTGCAATATTTGGTGTCATTAGAAAGCAATAGATAATTTTATTGGATCAAACAAATAAATCTGATGGGATATGAAGAGCTTTCAATACAGGCTTAAAACCAGACATTATAATGAACCAAATGATTCTCTAAATCTGCCGCTGTAGGCGTCAGCGGGGATTATGAGGGATGGTTGCTGTTATTGGATTCTTCTATTAGCTTCTAAAGCCTTTTCATGTATTTATTGTTCATTTCACAGGAACCTTTGGAAAAGGCCCAGTCTTTAGCTGTCCATGGAGACCAGCTCATCCAAAACAACCACTACGCAGTTGACTCCATCAGGCCAAAATGTGTTGAACTCAGGCGTATCTGTGACGACTTTACCAATGAGACCAAGAAAAAATATGATATTTTGGGGAAGTCCCTCGAGCTGCATAAACAAATAGACAAGGTGAGGGAGTCTTGCTATAGGGAAACCTCGATAATGCTCTGTTGAAAAATAAAGATTTAAAAGTTCATATAATTGAGGTTTCAGATGGGTGTGTTTAGTGTTTTCCCCCACACACACCAATCCATAGATAGGGAGAAGAGCTGTGATGCCAGCTTTATGATTGTCCACATCTACTTGGTTATTTGATTTGGTTCACTATAAAGATAGGGATACCAGCTTTAAAAAAGGGAGAAAAAATGTTTCCCTGAATTATACTCTTAAAATAATTCAAACTAGGATTTGGAACAATATAAGAACTTGATCTAAGCCTGTAATGTGAACCAAACCCAGCTGGGGGTGTGTTAAATGATCAGTTCTCTACTCCTTGCATTATTTTTGGTTTTCAATCTCCCCAGCATTTCTGTAATCTTGCTGGAAGAGGACACACCATGGGACAGTTTTAATGGTATTATCCAGCCTGGCCTGAAAGAGGAATTAAACATACCGTGAAAACCTGTTGCTGGGTTTTGCAAATCCAAGAGTTTTTTCGGGGGTGGGGGGGAAAGGCGAGGTTCACATAAGGTTCAAACATCTATCCAGTTTCTTGGGGACTTACCTAGACTCAGTGTTAAAACGCTGAGTGGGATGCTCAGGAAGGCTGAAGAACCTCATTGCCTCGTGGAGGGTAATTGTACATCACAGACAGCAATCAGCACTTCACAGAACTGGATGGTGAATGATAATAAAGTCATCTTTGCTCCATTTTCCTTTAAAGGCGAGCCAGTGGTGTGAAGCTGGAATCTACCTCTTAGCTTCTCAAGCTGTGGACAAGTGCCAGTCACAAGAGGGAGCTGAAACTGCACTTTGTGAAATAGAGAAATTTCTGGCAACCGCAAAGGAACACCAGCTCTCCAACCCGAAAGAGTTTTATAATCAGTTCGATATGATTCTCACCCCTGAAATCAAGGTAAAGCCCATCGAATTGTTACATTGCCGGTTCAGATGTCTGAAAAACAGCAGCTAATGTTTAAGATGCAGGTTCAACGCTCTGGTGTAGTTCTAGATAAGGCTCCTTTCGTGTAGCAGAGCATTGTGGGGCACAAATGTGGGGGTATGAGAGTTACTTTGTGTGCTCCCTTTGGGGTTGCAGCACAGAGGTGGCTGTGAGGTGTGCACAACGGGGCATTGTTGGCAGGAGCACAGTCCCTACAGACCTGCCCTGCTCTAAAACAAGTGCTCCATCTTATACCTGCCTAAGGTGATCAGTCTGCCTCAGAGCGAATGTCATTGACTCGGTGTGCATTGCTCTCCTGCAGGCCAATGCCCAAAGGATCCTCCAGAAACTGGAAGACGTGCAAGAAATGTTCGACAAGAGGCAAGTGAGTCTGAAGAAGCTGGCAGCCAAGCAGACTCGGCCGGTGCAGCCTGTCGCCCCGCATCCTGAGTCTTCCCCGAAACGAGCCTCACCTAAGACCACCAGACCAGCAACGTTAGGTAGGGCCCGGAGACAGGGTTTTCAGATGCGCACCCCGTCTTGTCGTCACAGTTCTGCTTTGCCCTTTAACCAGAATGAAGCCTTGTGTTTAAAATTCAATGTCACGGACACAGGTTTCAAAGACGAGTGTGAAATCTTTGTGCATGTGCAGTGATCAAGGAGGGGGAAATCAGGTTTGGATCTGCCAAGACACTTCAGGCTCCACTCTCCATGGGAGGTTTCCTCCTCCTAGCCTAGACCCCCATCCCAGCTGGACTCCTCTCCTACTGCTTATTCTTTTTCTCAAGCAGTAATTGATATCTAATTGCACGTGCAAATTCTGCTTTGGAATTCCTGGCTGTAGCAGGCGTGCACAGTATTGTGTGTGTGTGGCTTTCAAATCACAAAACCCCAGAGTCAGGCAATGCAAAAGGTTCAGTGACAATGTTAACCCATCTATGTCATGGTCTTCTCCCTATCTGGCCTTGACTTTGAGTGGTTACATCAAGGCAAAAGCTACGTGTACTTTATCTCTCCTGGGAATTTACAGTGAGGTACTGGCTTCAGTTAGCCACCTCGACATAAAACCACACCTTTGTTTTGCAGTGAAGACGCAGGCTAGGTCAGCTTGATGCAGCTTGGGCCCTGCAGCTGATCACTGAAGCCCAAGCCTGGGACCCTCTCTGTTGTGTTAAAAATCAAACCCAAGTGTTTAGCAAAGAGCCTTGAGAAAAATAAACTGGTCACTGAGATTGAAAGGAACGTGCAGCTGAGTTCTGCTTCTGCGGCGGGGGACCGGGAGGTGATGGGAGCCTGACCATCGCGTCTCCTACATGCACACGCACACAAGCTCACCCTCTCTTGTCACGTGAAACAAACCCACTAGTTTTGCGGTGTATTGCACGGTGTCTTGTCACGGCTCATTGCCTACCTTCTTGAGGCTAGCCCTGGCCACTTATTCTGATGACAACCCTGGGCAGAATTCAGAGGAGAAGAGACAGTGTATAAATAAAAACAGATTATTTTGCAGCTTGCCTCCGAATGCTGTGACTGACTTAGCTTGTTCATGTAGTCAACTCCCTTTGGTTGTGACCACGGCAGCTGCTGGCAGCTCTCTCTCAGTAACTGCTCAGGTGCACATGAAGGATGCAGTCTACAGTGATTGCTGCTATAGGCAAGAGCCAACTTGCTGCTGCACTGGGTGGCAGCCCCACGGCCACCCTTCCCTTTGAGCGTCCCAGCCTGAAGTGACACTTGAAAAGAGACAATAGCACAGGCTCCCACCAGCCACTGGCCAGGGAAGGTCTGCTCCTGCTCCCAGTTTTCACACCAGTTTGAGCACGCTTTTCCTTCCACATCCTCCAGAGTTATCTCAGTGTGGATTCTTCTGCCTTGCCAGTGTCACTCATACAGTATAGTTACTGCCTCAGGCTCCCAGCTAATGTGATGTCCATGTTCCTGCATGTACACTTTCATGTATTTTTATTTCACTCCTATGCAGAACTTCTAATAATTTCCAAAGCACATGAGAAATACCCACCTATAGTTAATGTTCCACATATATATAGTGGCAGGAGCAGGTTCCAGAGACACCGCTGGTAGCCTCAGAGTTCCTGTTCTTCCTTTGGCTCTCCAGGTATTCCCCACTTCCCCTTGCTCTTGCCTGCTGCGCCTTGTTGTTATCCTCAGATCTTGAGAGTAAAGACGGCTGCCCCAGGGTTCCCAGAGTAAGCCTGCGTCCTCCCAGTCTATACATTCTTTACAGACCACCTGTCTCTAAGATGCTCTTAAAAGCTACTCCTGGCCTGTAGTTCCTTTCTCTGACATGAGTCACCTTAAAGGCAGTTCATGGCCTCCAACCTCTCCTACAGCCATGCTCATGCCTCACAGGTGTTAACACTTCAGTCATTTCCAGGGTGCTCTCCCCCATCCCTTCCCCTCCTGCTTTCAACCTTTTTGACCTTTGGCTTGTTTGGCTTCTGTCCCTATGCTCTGGCTGGGCCCCCCAGCCCCCATCTACTGCGCAAGGCTGGGCTTTAGGGTTCTAGCCCTCATTTCCTCCTTCCTAGGTCTGGCCCTCTTGGCCCTGATCTCACTCCTCTAAGGGCTTGAGTTTCACCCCTTTTTGGCTACAGGCTTTGATACTATCCCTGCCCTGTCCAGGCACCGGGTCTCTGACCCTTTTCTGCCCAGTCCAGGCACCGGGCCACTGACTCTTTCTCCAGGCTTCAACCTGCATTGACTTAAGTCTGTTTTGTGCCCCAAACCCTGGCCCCTGGCAGGGTTCAAAGTAGCTGCGTGCTCCCCTGGCATACTGGGATCTCCAGCTCCCCTAATTAAGCCCAATCTGGTCCACCGGCTCAAATCACAACAGAAAAGTTCAGCCCTCTGGCTGTAACCAACATCAAGCCTTCTGGCTGCATAAGAAAGTCCAGCTTTCAGGCAACTTGCAGTTCTGTATTAAGAACCTGCCTGGTGTAAGGTTTCCAGCAGTCTCACAGCCTTGGAGCAGCACAGGGCCTCTTGCATGGCAGCATATTAGCCAGGATTCCTGTCTTGCACTCATCCTAGCAGACAAAGTATCCCACCGGAGGTTGTGCCTCCTGCTTTTGTGCCTCTGGTTTCCTGTTACAATACACCCACCCACATGCACACACATGTGCACACACACACACACATAAGAAAATAAATGCTGATGCCCAAGGAGGCACATTTCTGCCATGCAGATGGTATAAATGACAACCCCGTAGGGAGCCTTGTGGTGCGGCTCCTATGGGTCATCTCCCTAGGGCTCTAAGATTGTATGCAGCTGGCTAGCAAATACAACACAGAATCACTCCCCCAGCCCCTTGCACATTGTTGCAATTAACAGGCAGAGGAAGTAATTTTCAAATATTTTCAGAGCTTTGCCATTCTGGGGGACATGAACAGTGTTTGCTAGTCCTGATATTTGCACATCTGCCTCCCTTTGAGTCTGCCAGAAGGTCATAGCGCTGCTTGGATCATGAGAGGTATATCCTACACAAGTGATGGCTGCAGAACTCCCTAGACTACAATGTGCATCTTGTGGTAGTAATTAGATTCCCAAAAATATTTCTGCAGATAAGGTAGACAGGTCAATAAAAGACTGGTAGGCAGGGATCTGTGGGTAGATAGTTTAACGCCCATGATTTGTTTCTAAAGACTAACTGACTTAGAATGGGGCCCTAAAAATTAAACACCTTGCCACACTTTCTTCAGTATTTCCTCAGCTTGGAATACAAGTATCACTGTTAGGTTAATTGTCCTGGGCTATATGTATTGACTGAGCTTTTGAAATGGTATCTTCTATCTTCTCTAGTAGTCTTCTCCAGATAGTCATTCTTTGGATTTCTCCTGGGTCTTTCATCTCAGCAGTCTTCACAAACATTTCAACATCTGAGTGTTAAGTATTGCTGCTACTTCTCTGCAGAGGGTGAGTGGAGGGATGGGGAAGTGAAGTGATTCATGCAATTTACACAGTGAATCTGGGTTATGGTGGAAAGGAGCATTGAGAAATTTTGACCCCTAAGGTTTTCTTCTAAGCATCATACTCTGAAGATGAGGTAATCAAGTTCCTGTCTCTCATGACTGTTTTCTACTGATTTTCCTTAATAATATGACGAAGATCTGTACTCCCAGGCCTGCACTACTGCAAGTAGAACTCCCGCGTCTTAGTAGGAGGATCATTTATATCTCGTAGACAATTTTTTTCTGGCCTTGTTACACGTTCTGGCCCTGATCTTTGTGGTGAGTCACTCAGACGGTCTAGTAAATGGGATTCCAACTTGGTCACACAAGGCCACCAGCGTAGGTCAGGCTTCAGAACTGGGGCCTCTATATCAGCAGGATTTCTTGAGGGCCAACTGGGGAAACAAGAAAGAGAAGCCAACATCATTGTTTATGGAAGACAATATTTGTGGCGTAGGATGCACCTGGCTATCCTCGATTACTTGCAAAGCAGAGCGTGCTCAGAGGAAGCGATGGTATTCACAGACATGCAAATAAGGAGGCAGACAAATAAACTAAAACGGTGTCACTATCACCTGGGGGCCAGAAAGCAGGATGCTTGTTTCACAGACCGCATATCTACACCGGCTCCCATAGAAGTGCAACATCTGACTATTTTCCAAGTCTCCTTCAGCAAAGAAAATAGAATCCAAAAATGCTTTTTATGTGCTAATATAGAAGACGTACAAAAAACTAGAACTCTTGGTTCCAAAATGCTACCTTTTATTAGACCAACTGGGAAATCACAAGAAAACTGTCCTTTTCTGCAAGCTTTTGGGATTAGAAAGACAGTTGCCCTTTCCAGATCAAATCATTGACCATTTTCCCAGTCTGACCCTCAAAAACAAGGGAGAGGCAGTGCAGGGTGCTCAAGGAAGGAGCTGAACCAGTGTGCATGGCCAAGTATGAAGCCCCTCAATGGACTGACTTGATTTTAAGATGTCTCCTCTACACGAAATGAGAAAGAAATGCTCATATGAACAGTGCACAGGAATCCGGCTGAATTAATCTGCATAATAAAATCAAATGACTATTCATTTGAATGGACATGTTGCTTGACGAAGGGGGTTGGAAATTTCTTTCCAGTTCCTCCCTGGCCTTGATGGGAGTTTGCCTCTGTACACTTCCTCACCCTGAAATTTGAGACCAACCCTCAAGGATACAGGAGCCCTGTGTTGACCTTTTCTGTGGTAACTAAGCCAGGGTGCCCTATAAATCTTTCTTGTTATTATTTTAAGTCTACATAGAAATGCATATTATGCTCAGGCTATTCTGTTTATTCCCAGTGGGATTTGCCGAGGCATTATGGACGGTGGAATATCTGTCTCTTGGGTGTGATAAGAAAGAGAGACAGCATGAGTCAGAGAGAGTCACAGAATCGTAGAGAAGTAGGGCTGGAAGGGACCTTGAGAGGTCATCTAGTCCAGCGTTTCTCAACCCGTGGGTCACAACCCAAAAGTAGGTCGCAAGAATACAAGAAAGGGTCACGAAC